AGGTCCGCGAGAAGAAGGGACCCCTGCGCGCCGCCATCCCCTGCATGCCTTTCCCGGTGGCCGTCCTCTGCCTCTTCCTCAACACTTTCGTGCCAGGACTGGGTAAGTAACAGCGGCCGCCACCCCGGGCGCCCTGGGAGAAGGGGCGCCGCTCTGGGCTCCCTGACCCCCGGACATCATTCCGACGCCGGCACCAGATGGTCCGGCCAGAACGCATGGGAAACTTGGAAAGGAAATTTGGAACCTGCGGACCGCGGCCCCGAGGGCTGGCTCCCTTGGCCCTGAACTGGACAGGTCCGGGCGCCCCAAAACCTGTCTATGCCGTCCCCCGCCCTCCCCTCCCACCCCCACCAGCACCACCCTGCCAGGTCGGTCGTTCCGCAAGTCCTTTTGGCCCAGGGGCTCAGGGACCGAGACCAGAAAGAGTCAGAGTCGGTTAAGCAACCAGACTTTCTGGGCTTCGGAAAAGTTGGCCCAGCCGGGGGAAGGCAGAGTGGAGGGAGGGACAAACGGGGTTCAGGAGGAGACACCTCGCAGCCCCGCCTGCGCCTGCCGACTGTAGCCCGGGTGGGAGCGAGAACTGAAGCCAGAAAGCTCCACCTTCTAGGCCGCCCGCGCTTCCGCCGGCATCCCTGCTGTGTGCCAAGGCGGTGGGGGTGGTTTTATAAGCTTGGATCCAAGTGGCTATGGGTACCCCAAAACGCCCTTCCATCCCTGAGAAAATGCACAGCGCGCCGATGTCATTCTATGCCTAACTCCAGCTTCTCGATTTTAAAACAAATCTAGCCCAAGAGTGGAGGGGCTGATGGGTGTCTGGAGAGGAGAAAAGAGTTTTTGTGGCCTCTCCTTTCTCTAGACACGCCCCCAAATCTCTGCCCGCACCCCCCCCCCTCCACCCACAGTTTACCAGCTAGTCAAGGGCTGTGCTTGGCAGCTGGCAAGCTGTCCTGCACTCCTTGCCCCTAGCTGGCGACCTCCCGGTGACTTCCAGGAGGCCCACTGCTGTCCTGGAGCCAGTTTACAGTGAAGGGCTCCGAGGTCCAAGAGCAGAGGTCAGCTGGACGTTGGTTTCCGTTTTATCTTGGTCTTTCTCACCGTGTAGCTCAGATTCCGGACATCACTTGTGACCGTGGGTAACAGGGGCGGCTCTATGGCGGTGGTCGCGAAGCTGACACGCACCCACACAAGCAGAATACACCACGCACTTTCCCCTGGTTTTTCTGTCTACTTGTCTTTCTGCCAAGAGACCTTGGTGGTTGAGTGGATTAAGCATCGGATGGCTAACCACAGGGTTGGAGGATCGGACCCTCCGGCCCCCTCTCAGGAGAGGAAGAGGAGGCTCTCTGCTCCGAGAGTGCTCCGCACTCTCGATGTGGAGCCGGTCTGCTCCACCCTTAGGGATCAGGATGAGTAGGAAGGGCCCAGCTGGCAGTGGGCTTATTTGCTTTGGGGTTTGTTTGACATGGGCTTCTTTCTGCCTTGGGTGGCTGCTGTGGCCAGAGTGGCACCCCTGTCTGAGCAGCAGATTCGGTGGCCTCCAGTTGGCCTTTCACTCCTCCCTACCTAGCCCCCCACCCTCTACACACAATTAGTATCATCCGCAAATGTCATGGGGGCCATATCTTGAGTCCTCTGGTGTCTCAGACACACCTCTGCACTCCATCCTTCTATACCTACTCTGGCACCACCTGTTCCTCCCACAGCACTCTACTTCTATTTTGCATCCGATAACGCATTGCAATGGCCACACGGTATTGGCTAAATAAATGACATTAGCTATAGAATTACCGTGTCCCAGGTGTGTGTGCTTGTGTGTGTGTGTGTGTGATTTATAATGTTCTCTAAAATAAAATGATAATAATGTCTCTAAAGTGAGCCAGAGACATATGTAAACCATAGATACATGAATGGATTGGGGGCGCACACTTAATGCCAGCCTCAATCTAAGAACAATCAGTTCTTATGGCATGGGCCTTCTCAACACTCACCCTCGCGAAAAGATCACTGAACACATGGCTGCTATAGAAAAGCGTGGTGAAGAAACCACGTTGTGCCCCACTATCATAAAGAATAGCGTCTACGATTGCTAAAGACTAAAAGGGTGCATGAGTTGTTAAGTAATAGGGACCTGGGAGAGGTAACCCTGAAAGAAATGGGGACTGGAACAATGGTTTCAAACATTTCCGATTCTTTCTTTAACATAAAGGTTTTTTTTTTTGTTGTTGTTGTTTTGTTGTTTTTTGTTTTTGTTTGTTTTTTTTAACATTTTATTAGGGCCTTATACAACTGTCATCCCAATCCATACACACATCAATTGTGTAAAGCGCATTTGTACATCGTTTCTCAAAACATTTTCTCTCCACTCAAACCCCCGAGATTAGGTCCTCATTTTTCCCCTCCCTCCCTGCTCCCCCCTCCCGCATGAGCCCTTGATAGTTTATAAATGGGTATTTTGTCTGCTCTACGTCATTATTCTTGTTAAGCTTGTGACTACTTGTGTGTTGCTTTGGTGTTTATCTATACAACAAATCCAGGATAGGCAGCCGAACAGAGATAGCAATAGGACTGGGGGCACCTGGGTGCATGGGAAGGGAGGGGGAAGGGAGGAGAATGGGGAGTCAGTAATGAGGGGTACAAGAAAATAGCAAGTGTTCTAAAATTGACTGAGGCATGGTTAGCTCTTCTTGACACATCTGAACAATTGACTTATATCTGAAAGGAATTACTGAAATGTGACTGATGGGTAAACATAAATGTAGGGTTGGAGTGAAAATATATATATTTGGGTCTCTACTTGAATCTTGCCACAGTACAAGAACTGTTTGTTCTAATAATTTGGCATTGTATGATACCTTCCTGACATGGTCACTGAAAACAAAATGAGTGCATAAGCAAATGTGGTAAAGAAAGCTAATGGTGCCTGCTATCAAAAGATACAGCGTCTGGGGTCTTAAAGTTTCATAATTAAACAAGCGGCCATCTAGCAGAGAAGCAATGAAGCCCACATGGAAGAAGCACACCAGCCCGTGTGATCATGAGGTGTTTATGGGAAGAGGTATCAGAAGTTCAAAAACACACAACCAACTTGATGTGAAGGGGCGTGGATGCAATAGAGAACCAAAATTCACCTGCAAGGTAATTGGACAATTTCTTTCTGAAGGGCCGCATGGAAAGGATTATAAATCCAAGGTGTGGTATGACACTGTGAACCACATAAATAACCTCTAGTTCTTTAATATTTCCTACCCCCGCTAGTAAGATTTTTATTTTTCCCCCTCATTAATTATGTTAGATTTGCATATGTTCATTTGCGTATTTCAGTTTGTTCGGAACATGAAAGTCAAGATAGATAACTTTTCAGAAACAGTAACAGGAGTAACAGTTCCCTGAGGGTAGGGAAGAGAAGGGGGTGGGGAAGGGGGCAGAATTGTACGTAAATGGATATATTTGATTGTGTAAGATATGTCAATAAAACTATTACATATAAAAAAAAGAATAGTGCCTAGGGTCTTAGAAGCTTGTCTTCAAACAGAAAAATCGCTGCCATTGAGTCCCTAGAGGACAGGGTAGAACTGCTCCTGTGAGTTTCCGAGGTTGTAACTATTGACGGGAGTAGAAAAGCTGTCTTCCTTCTGAGGAATTGGCTGGTGGTTTCCGAAGACTGACCTTGCAGACTGCAGCGACATAACTCCTATGCCACCAGGGCACTTTTGTGTTCAAACAAGCAGTTGTCTAAGTGAAGTGTCAACTAACTCCACATGAAAGAAGCACACCAGCCTGTGTCATCCACGGATTGTAAATAATAAAATCCACATCCAAAGGGAGGAATGGTATCAGAGCTTAAATTGTGAACACCCGGTTTACAGAAGCCTATGGATGACCATTGCAATGTTCTCCAAAAGAGTAAGCCTCTGGTGAATCCCCTCTGAACACAGTCCAAGGATGTGAACAGCCTTGCTATCAGAGAGCATTGCAAAGCCAATTGTGGCAGATGTAGTTAGGTTAAGATGGAATACCTTATCATTTGTTCTCTCTTTTGACCCATTTTAAAATTGAGTTAGATTTAATTTTTGAAAAAAGAAAGAAAAATCCCATTCCACCACACTGATGTCCATTCAGCAGTCAGAAATCCTAGGAGTAAATTTACTGGAGGAAACGCAGACTTCTGTCCATCTCTGGTAGGTTTGAAGTGCGTCAGAAGGGAGACACCTGATTCTACATTGAGGAAACAGAAGCATTTGTGCCCAGTGGAAGGATTGAGTTGCTGCTGGTTAGAAGAACTATCCCAGGAGACCCCATTACCCACACATACTTACTTCCCAGGCATCACCTCCAACCAAAATCAAAGCTGATGATGTTCAGTTAATTCTGACTCAAGTTCAAGTACTCCAGAACAGATCTGCTGCAGTGTTTCTTCTTTCGAAGAGTTGTTCGAATGATCCCAGCTCCTGGAAATCCTCCACTTGACCCAAATTAGCGGCTCCAGATTCACCAGCTTTATCTGATCCAGCAACTCATTGCTCTAGTGTAGAGCCGATCCTGACTCATGAGGATCCCACACGTTTTGGAGTTGAACTGTCTGTGACCCATAAGTTGGTCAATGATCTTTTTGTTGTTGTCTGAATTAGCTGTCCAGTATTTTCTTCAGAAGTGCCTCTTAGCTGTTTGTGCCATACAAGGACCCCAGCTTATCCGAAACACCTACCAAAAACTGAATGTGCATTCCTGGCTCTGCCCTTTAATGAGATGCAGCTCATTTCCATTCAGTCAGAAACCCCAAAGCACCCACATATGGCAGGCACTAAGGACGTGATGATGAATAAATCAGTCAAGGTTTTATAGATTGTCGGGGAAAATGGAGCAAGTGTTGCTGGAATTCGACAAGTGCAGCGATGCGCAGCAGACCAGTGCTTTGTAGTCACGGTGAGCTTTTCCTGGAGCCTCTTCCTAAAAAGCTGCCTAAAGGGAGAAGGAGGAGGATCCATCCTGCTCAGAAAATCCACCCTGTGACCCCAACCACTTTGCAGACTCCCACTTTCTGAAAACTGATCTGGCCCCGATCCAGAGATTCCCATCTTTATTCTGGAAACCGCCTTCCCTCC